GCTCACGATTCTTTTAAAAATTAAACAATTTTACATTGCAGTAAGGACAGTAGAAATTGTTTAATTTTTAAAAGAATCATATACGTCTATAATACAACGTGTGATCAATAATTTCCAGGAATGAGACTGGATCACGTAAAATATTCAAAATAATGAAATGATTTTATAAGAACCTTATAGATAAAACATTTATCAACACGTAGAAAAAGAATTGATCACACAGACGAACGCACTTTTTTTTCGAATTTATAAGCTCGAGTATATCAGAACATTTTCTAACTTCAGTATGGACTGTATTGAAAAACAGCGAGTCTGCATAGAGTTTTGCTTTAAATTAAGGAAAAGAGCTTCCGAATCATTTCAAATGTTGAAGCAGGCTTTTAAATAAGTTTCCCTATCACAATCGAGGATATTTGAATGGTTTTCACGATTTAAAGCTGGTCGAACAAGCGTCAAGGATGATCTACACACTGGCAGACCTTTATCGATAAGAAACCCCGAAAATGCACTCAAATTCAAGTCATCGATTAAAGAAAACTCAAGAATAAATATCAGAGAGCTATCAGAAGACTTGGATATCTCTTTTGGAACATGCTAAACCATCATAAAGAATGATCTGCATCTTAAAAGGTCCTCTGCTAAATTTGTCCATCTCTTAACGAATGAGCAGAAAGAGCATAGCAAAGAAACGTGCAAAAACATGGTCGAAATATTTAATTTTGATCCCCATCGGCTCAAAAATGTTATCACGAGAGATGAAACATGGGTGTACGGATATGATCCCGAGATTAAGAGGCAATCAAGCCAGTGGCTAGAGCTTGGAAAACCAAGATTCAAGAAAGCAAGGATGATCAAATCGAAGCTTAAGTGTCTTCTTATCACATTCTTTGATGTAAAGGGATTGGTACACTATGAAATCGTGCCCGAAGGTCAGACCAATAATCAGCATTACTATCTTGATGTATTGCGACATTTAAGGGAGGCTGTGCGTCAGAAACGACCCGAAAAATGGCATCAGAAAAATTGGCTCTTACATCATGACAACGCACGGCCACATACGGCCGTCACTGTACAACTCTATTTGGATAAACACGGAATTGCTTTATTACCCCAGCCACCCTATTCTACTGAACTTGCTCCCAACGACTTTTCCCTTTACCTTAAAATTAAAAAAGTCTTGAAAGAGTTCGTCAATTTGACTCATTACCTGAAATAAAGGAGAATACGAAGAATATTATGAACACAGCCTGAATGATGAGGATTTTCAGAGGTGTTTTGATATCTGGAAAAAAAAAAGATGGAACAAGTGTATAGATAGTGACGGTGATCATTTTGAGAAATTTTAAATAAAACTTTATTATTCTTTTGTATTTCTTTAAATTTTTAGCATTCCTAGAAATTATTGATCACACTATGTAGTTTCAAATTTTCATAACAGATAGTGTACTAATGCATCATAATATATGGAAGTGTAAAATGTGATTTTAAACATTAAAAATGATGATTCAAATCTCCTAAATATAGATTTCTATAAATTAGTTTCTTTTTATTAATGTTCTCATCTCAAGATTTCGGGCATCATTGCCCTTCTACTGAAGTAAATAAAACGAATAATAATAAATAAAAGCCTATTATTATTGGGTGACGAAAGCCAACAGCCCGAAAGGCATACGTGGTTAGCTTTTCTTAATTTATCAAGCAAATGAGATGTCAAATATTATGAAACATGTTGAATCAAGGATTGGTTCATTTTTGTTACACTAGATGGCGCTCTGCAATCTAAAATATTCATATGAGTGGTCAGAATAATTCTGAATGATATCCAATAATCAAAACAATAAAAAAATAATAAATGAAAGTATTTGATATTTTTTTTTCATTGTTTTTATTATTGGATGTCATTCATAATTAATATTTTTAGAAACACTTGGAAAGATTGAGTTAATTGGGATTCCTTTGAATCTCTGAAAATTGAAAACGCTACGTGAGAATATGAAGAATGCATCACTAGTGTCTAAAAATCTTAATTAATAGAGTAATTACTTGATAATTAATTTTTTAATAATGTAGGTTAAGGAGATTCTTTGGAAACCTGCCGTTTTATCGTATTCGAAGAAATATAAAAAATTGGAACAAAAAATCTTTTGGAATGATTTTTTTTTTGCTTTTTCGATACATGAATAGTTTATCTAATTTTCAAGTGTTTTATTAGTGTAAAATACAATAAAATCAACTTTAAATAACAATTTACTTGCAAGGCGTAAACGTTATAACCCCAAAACTGGTTATCGTTTTGAAAAAAAGCAATCCAAACTATATCAACCAGTTTTAGTTATGACGCTCTACACCTTGCAAATAGATTGCTTTATTTTCAAATCAATTTACTCAATTATTTATTACCAGTTGCAAACAAGACACGCTATATCCGATCTGGATAATTGCGCGTGAAACTATTTACAATAATTGTAGTAGAGTAGGTAACAGAATTATCAAAAAGAAAATAAACAATTAAGAAAAGGAGCATTGAATAAACATATACATTAAACAAATAAGCAACAACATAAGCAGATAGAATAAATCGCAAGGTAGTTATTTACAGTATGTTAGGCAATGATGGAAGTTTATTTAATGAAGATATCTGTAATAATTAGTATCGTGGAGAGAGAAAGTTGATCAAGTTGAGCTATTTACAATGAGTTATGTTCTAATGTAACTTATTAATTATTTACATTGATGTAAATCAAGTCGCATTGTAGTGTAGTTCCTCAAGCTGCATGAAGCTGTCTATTTATAATAAATTAGATTTACTTAATTGATTTGATCAAATAATTGAAACAGTAATACCTGACTTAAGACGCGAAAAATAAATAAAAATAAAAGAGATTACATATTTACATATGAAAAAACAATAGAAAAAAATATTAAAAAGTGGGTCAGGTGTTGATATCTATATATATAAAATTGAATGTCTGTGTGTGTGTCTGTGTGTGTGTCTGTGTGTGTGTGTGTCCTCTATGGATTCAAAAACCATACATCCAATCGCCGTGAAATTTTGGGATATTATTAGGTGTATCCCCGGAAAGGTTTACGAAAAATAATTTCTTGAATATCTTTAATATCCTTAGAGTTATTTGCAGATTTGTAGCTTTAACTCGCAAGCAACGCCACCTTAGGCTTAGGTCTGCCCCCCCGTCCGGCCGCCGGCCATTGGACAGTCCAAGTTCCCACCGACCAATCAGAGGGATCAAGATCCCCCCTCCCCCCCCCCCCTTCCCCCCCTCCCCCCCACCCCCGTCCGGCCGCCGGCCAATCAGAGGGATCAAGAGGTCCTGGCGCTGGGGCGGCGGGTAACCTCCGGGAACTACGTCCATCTTCCATAAACGACCATGATTCTATTCAACTTATCGAGTAATATTCAAGGGACCGGGAAAATATGTAGATAAAACGATGATTTTGTAATGTAGAAAATTAGGAAAGACAAAATTCAGGATGACACGGCACACAGGGACCGGGAAAAAATAATCACTTTATCGAGAGATTCACGACCATGATTTTATTCAACTTATCGAATATCTTTCAAGGGACCGGGAAAAAATGTTCACTAGATAAAACGACGATTTTGTAATGTAGAAAATTATGGAAGACAAAATTCAGGATGCCACGGCACACAGGGACCGGGAAAAAATGTTCACTTTATCGAGAGATTCAAATTTACGCGTTTCAAATTATCAAAATATATCTTTTTTTTTATAAGTTTGTAGAGAATTGTTTTAACAAATGTTCGTTAGACAAACATTCACTCGGGTAAAACCCGGGCGAAGCTGGGCACATCCGCTAGTTAAAAATAAAGAGAACATATCCTAACCACAAGCACATGTGCTTTTTAGATGGCAGAGCGCCATCTTAAAAAAACGTTTAGTTTATTTTTGCTCCACTAGATGGCGCTCTGCCATCTAAAAAGCACATGTGCTTGTGATCAGGATATGCTCTCTTTATAGTTACATATCTACAGAAAGATTTGAGCCGGATAAAGGAAAAGATAGAGAATATGGTTTTACGGGCTACTAAACAAATAACATATTTTCTATATCTTTTTACTTTGACCAGCTCAAATCTTTCTTTAGATGTGTAAATATGAAAAAAATATTACAAATGTGATATTGTGCTGGGATAAGGTGCATAAATTATGAAAAAAGGCATCTCCTTATCGTGCAACTGAAAGTTGCTGATGGCTTGCGCCATCTATATCGGTCTCACGCAATTCTGGCCTTAACTACCCGTTTCATGATTTTTCAGGATGCCTTGAATGACCAGTTTTTTTGGTCGTTGAGGTACAGCTTGCACCACGCTGATGAGGGCCAACAGCCCGAAACGCTGGTTAGCTTTTCTTGATTAATCAAGAATGGGTATTTGGCTAATTCTGGAATAATTAAAAATCAACGAGAATAGTTTATATTTATTCCGATAGATGGCGCAAGCCATCAGCAACTTTCAGTTGCACGATAAGGAGATGCCTTTTTTCATATGTAAGTATGTAATATTTTATTACTCTATTATTCGCACCTTAAATCAGTTATCACTTTCCTAAAGGGAAACGGAAATATCTTTATTTACGGGGATGCTAACCAGAATGGATGATTTTTGAGCCCCAATGGACGCATTAAGCGTAATATGGTCGCGTTGAAAAATGACACGAGGAGAGGTAAACCGAAATTTATTCTCTCTAACTGTCTACCTTAGAGAGAAATAAGGATAACCCAGGCCCCTGGAGCGCAAGAAACGCCGACTGCCCGGTCTGTCTCCCTTAAATTGTATCTACGTGCATTTATATAGCTAAATGACATATAAAAACACCTTATGTAAACTTATACAATATGAAAATTATGCAAACAAATAAACCATGCTACAATATATATACAAAGAACTATATACATTGTACTGTTGGTGGGGCCTGGGATGGGTGGCCAGGGGATCATCACCGGGTGAGGCCAGGAAAAAAACTGCGCCGCTCGGGAATTGAACCCGGGTCGCAAGAATGGAAATCTTGCATGATATCATTACACCAACGATGCACGAAACAACAATGCGTTTATATAGAGTGAAGCCGCGACATCTGGTGTTCGACTTTACAGAGTAATTTGATCTAGGAAGAATATATTTTGAAATTAAAAATAATTTTTATATAACATATAATGTAAGCTCTCTTCTATATATAACACAATAGTTCATGAATTTATTAAATTTAACTTGAAGTCTCGAGATATCATTCAACCAGCATGTATCATCCACCACGCCACCACGCACGTATATTTTCAAAATATTTTGTTTTTCAAACTAAAATAATGTAATATATTTTTCTCGCAATATAAGTATTTAAAATATGTATATAATAATAAAAATGGGTTGGCCAAATATCACGGAGCAAGCTAAATAAACGTTTAGTTTATTTTTGCTCCACTAGATGGCGCTCTGCCATCTAAAAAGCACATGTGTTCGTGGTCAGGAGATGCCTTCTTTATTTTTAATATCAACACCTGACCCACTTATCTATTGTTTTTTCATGTATATAATAATGTGTATATAAAAATACTATTTATTAATAAGTTATTAACGTGATAATCCTGTTGAAGGACTGACAAGTCCGAAAGTTTGAAAATAAAAAGTTACACAAGAAACAACCCTGGAAGCTTCATTTATTTTATAATATAACATATATATTTATAAAATTTTACACAAATAAATTTACTGGCAATGCGTTTCTTTTAAATATCATCAAGAGACAAGACCTCTCATTCAATAACTCATATCATTGCAGTAAGGTCTGTAGAGATAATATTTGATGATATTTAAAAGAAACGCATTGCCAGTAAATTTATTTGTGTAAAATTTTAACGATAGATGGCAATAAAATTTAATTTTACTAATATATATTTATATAAAAAAATAGTAACTTCGACCAGTTGGAGTTTTTTATTTTCTCAACGTTTCGACAAAAATCTTTTGTCTTCGTCAGGAGAAGTAAATATAAATAAAGCATTTGGCAAGGCGTTAAAAAATGTTCTGAGGTTTGCAAGGGCGTTCTCACGTGATTTTTCGAATTTAGTACAACATCTAAAGCGCGAGTCAAAAACAAATATTAAACTCGTCAAAGACTATGATTTTGGAAATAAAAATATATAATAATAAAAGTATAATAAATTAAGTAAAAAGAAATAAATAAAGTAATATAATAATAATAATAATTACAAAGATTATTATATAGATTTCTAACTATTATGTCTAATTCTTTTAAAATAAAAGGATTTAAAAGCGCGAATGTTTCTTTTATACATAAAACGAACTTCTACTGTCCTTACTGCGATGAAAGCTTATGTCCATAGTTTACTTGAAGATCATTGCTAAGATTCCATCCTTCAGTGTAGCATATAAAAGCAGAATGATCCAATACAGTATTAGAGCTCTGAGAAGCTGTCTGGTGGATTAAATTGGCGAAACCGCTGGGAGGGTTCACCACTGATGAGCCAAGCCCTCCCAATATATTTTTTCATCGCAGTAAGGACAGTAGAAGTTCGTTTTATGTATAAAAGAAACAATCGCGCTTTTAAATCCTTTTATTTTATATGTATAGATGGCGCGTTATTGCTTTGATGTCTAATTCTTATCTAATCTATTTTTTATATAAATATGAATGCCGGCCAGGCAGCCTTTATCTTTATGATAACATATATTGTTGCAGGAAAGTAGATTCTCTTTCTCTTCTATTTATAGAATGTTTCCATTGAGATAGAGAGAGACGAGTAAACAAGGCGAGAGACAAAACAGACCTAAATGTCTCACAACATAAACATTTCTCGTCCAATCACATTTCCTTCCAAACAACGGATTCGTTCTTTCAACAACAGCTATTGTTATCTTTATAGAGATATACTCACTTTTTTATATGTCTTAATAACCTGTTCTACACTCATGAACAGAACTTAAGGAAGTTGTAGAACGACATTTGAAAATTATCCCGCAAGGGTTTCTTTTGAACGAAAAATAGAAATTTATTTTAAGGAGAAATAACGATTATTTCTAACCTTAGAGATCAAGTATGAAAGGATGAATTGTGAAGAGTAATGATAAACGGAAAAATAAAGTGTCCAGGGATGGGAATCGAACCCACATTGTTCCGCTTACTGGGCAGATGCCATATCCACTAGACTACCCTGGATATATTTTTCTGTTCGTAAATATTATATAAAGTAATTTACAATACAATATAATGCGGGTTATGATTGTAGAACGACATTTGAAAATGATCCCGCATGTGTTTCTTTTGAACGAAAAATCTAAATATATTTTAAGGAGTAATAACGATTATTTCTAACCTTAGGGATGAAGTATGAGGATTAAGGAAGTTGAACTTTTTAGTATATATATATCGGGACAATAACTCTGAAAGATATTACAGTAGATTTATTGAAGACACACGAATAACAAAGTATGAACAAAATTACTTCTTGTTACTTCAAAAAAGAAAAAAAAAAGATGACCGGAGACATAAAGGACTTCAACTTCTTAAGTTTTGTCCATTAGTGTACTAGTGAATATATTCAACAGAATAAATATTTAAAAAATAGTGCAAAAGTGGAAGTGTACTGGGATTAAGTTGAAAAATTAAGAAAACACATTTACTGATTTTCGAATTTTCGTTCAACTTTTAGCTTTTTGTTACAATATAAGAAATGTTTAATATTTCATCTACATTACCTGAGGTTTATCATGGGCCCCTCACAAACCGACAACAATGAATGTCACCTTTTAGATACACATGTTATAATATTTATCCTTTTACATATTTTATATAGTCGTCTTACATTGTATACGTGGTACAGGCCATGATAATCATGGTGGGTAGAAGAAGGCGACTGCTTTTATTGTAAGTGCACCACATGTGTTAAAAGTCATGAAATATAGTATGTAAATATCTTTTGAATGTATAAATTATTATGTAAATTTCTTTGAATGTATATAAATTGACCATGCTGTTCAAATAAAGGGTAGAAGAACTTTATAGGTGTAGCCGAGGTTTTCTTCTTTTTCTTTCTTGCTTGACCACCCGAGGCAGCCCAAACCTATATCAAACCTTTAGGTTAAAAATTTTATTTGTTAAGAGGGAGTTTCCTTAATCTACCCCTTTCTTAACAAAATGTCTACTCATGTGAAAAGAAGTTTGACTTTGCACTTACGAATGTGTCATAGACCCGTTTGGTTACTTGCACTCGTTGGTGAGGTTGGACTTTCGCAAGAATCGGGAGCCATCGGAGAATTTTTTTTTATATAGGAAAAAAAAAGATGCCTATTGCTGGAATCGAACCCAGGTCGTAGCGGTCCAAAACCAACGGCTTAGACCATCTTTCCACAGACCCCGACCACCGTTCTACATAATTATATAATATATAGCATAATATAGCTATGGTTCTTTTCATGGTATATTCACATACTTATAACAATGGCTGTTAAATTTTTACATACAAGCGTTTTAACATGTAATATTTCCATATTTTGCATATTAGCCGTATAGAATCCAACTATACTCAATAATTTATGTACAGTTTGATCAGTTACCTAAGTTTCTTAAGGTTTATTATGGTCTCTTTACAAACCACCATGGATGTCAGTTTATTTACATACACGTATTCAAAATATTTTTATTTACATATATCACATAGTGTCCTTATAGATCGACGTTTAACAAGTTTTACCGCAAATGTTTCTTTTGAACGAAAAATCGAACTTTATTTTAAGGAGAAATAACAACTATTCCTATCCTTAGGGAGGAAGTATGAAAGTATGAATTGTGGAAAGTAATGATAAACGGAAAAATAAAAGTGTCCAGGGATGGGAATCGAACCCACAGTGTTCCGCTTACCGGGCAGATGCTATGTAATTAGTCTACCTTGGACATATTTTTCCGTTCATAAATATGTCCAGGGTAGCCTAGTGAACATGAGCATCTGCCCGTTAAGCGAACACTAGTGGGTTCGATTCCCATCCCTGGACACTTTTATTTTTTCCGTTCATCATTACTCTTCACAATTCATCCTTTCATACTTCATCCTTAAGGATAGGAATAGTTATTTCTCGTTAAAATAAATTACGATTTTTCGTTCTGTAAAAAAGAAACATTTGCGTTAAAACTTGTTTAACGTCGTTCTATAATCATAAGCCGCATTATATTGTATTATAATGTCCTTATAGAAATAGAATACACTCGAAATTTTATAGTAAGATAAGTTCAATTGAAAAGAGATAGAGATAAGAATAATTTCCTTATATAGTCTACCTTCTTAGAGAGAAATAACACAAAATCTATAATTCTATATTTACCTATCCCCCCATTTATCCTGATAAATATGTAAATTTACTCTTTATTTGCATATTGTTACACCAAATTGCATATTTGCAGGGTCATCGACCTTGGTTTCCTCCTTCTTGGTGTTATACACGTTTCCCGAGCGGGTTTCCATATTTAAAGCGAATAAAAAAAAAGTAAATAAAAATAAATTACCTTTTAAAGTTATTGTGTTTATTTATTCGTTATCTTCCTCGTAGGTCGTGATCCGCAGTCTTGGCCTAGGTCCTCTCTCGCTCCAATAACCAATCAAGATATATGTACAATAAAAATATTACAAAAGGAATGAAACTATAAAAAGGAATGATGATAATCTAATAATCTGTTACAAATATATATTAAATATCATAGAATATTTTGAATAAATTTAGGGCGTATTGATGCAACAATATATATATATACAGTTCAACCTGTCTATAGTGTCCCCTCTTGGGACTCACCAAAATAAAGTGATATAAAGAGAGGGTGCTATAGACATGTCGTACTACGTATTTAAAATCGGGCGCTATAGAGAGGTTCAACTGTATGTACAAACTACAGATTAATGTATATTACAGGTCTAAATTAGAAAAATAATTAGTTGATCTCCTAGAAATCGTGGAACTCTAGGTGACCGGTTATGAGAGGCGACCAAAAGTCTCTGTTCAGATCCCAAGGGAATGTCAAACGGCCGTCACCTAGCAACAGAGTGTCAAGCTGATCCGCCCAACTATGTTCTCCGATAGAGGGAATTACCTTTTCTACACTGGACGTTACCTTTTCTATACTGGAGGTAACCTTTTCTACACTGGAGGTCATTTTTCTACACTGGTCGTTTCCTTTTCTACACTAAATGTTAACCTCTTTACACTAACGTAATCTTTTCTACACTGGACGTTTACTTTTCTACACTGGACGTTTCCATTTCTACAATGGAATTTACCTTTTCTACACCGAGCTTCCTATTTCCTACACTGGACGTTTACTTTTCTACACTGGACGTTTCCATTTCTACAATGGAATTTACCTTTTCTACACCGAGCTTCCTATTTTCTACACTGGACGTTTCCATTTATATTTAATATATTGATCAGCAATGGATTCACATTTAAACTTTTCCCCTGATAATCTCGGTGCAGAGAGCGAAGAACAAGGTGAACGCTTCCACCAAGATATTAAAATCATTGAGCAACTATACAATGGTCTTTGGAATCAACATATGGTGGCGGATTATTGTTAGAATCTGATGCGTGATGACGAACAAAATATAATAGACTTCAGAGAAAAAATCTTTAAATCCATTTATAATTTTTTTATTACTTCCTAAATATTACTGCATCTTTATAAATAATGTTTATTAAACCAAATAAAATGTTTCTTCGCATACACAGCTTTTTGTTAAGACCTTCCATCTTTTATATATAAAGCAATTCTCCTGATAATTTGAAAATGAAGGGGAAAAATTAGATTTTTAAATGAAAATTTATATGGATATAGAGTAAGTAGTTTGATAAATATCTATATCCAAGGGCAGTTATTGAAGTAAAATAAATAACATGCATATATGTATAATATTGTTTCTTCATTTGCACCATCGTTGGCGCATTTATTTATATAGTAATAAGTTTAATGTCATAACTTTTCCTCCAATAGATGAATATCATGGGTAAAAGGCATTATTTCCACAACTTGAGAAATTGAGCTAATCGAAAAGAAGAAATATTGATACCACGTTAATCAGCACAAAAGTTAACCCAGAAAATGTTTTGTTTATTTGAGGAGGAGAATTTTTCTTTTTTATTTTGTGTACTAGTGTAATCGTTATTTAGAAAATGGAACACATACTGTAAGTATATTTAATTAAAAAGGCATATATTAGATCAAAATATCATGATCTAATATATGCTTTTTTAATTAAAGATTTATTTATTGATTGCTCTCTATTTTCAAAACTATAATTACTGTATATGTTTTATGAAAATAATTACGATTGTATATTTAATTATTATATTGGATAATTATGGATAATAATAAATACAAAATATCTTCTGTAAACTTCAAAGACAAATATAGAAAAAATTAAATTGTTACAAGGGCAGTAGGAAATGAAGTTGATGGCTAACAAGTGGCAAATGCATCATTGCCACGCTAATGAAAATAGGCCTGAAAATCCCTGAAAAAAAGTCATTAGCTTTTTTCTTAGTCCAACTACTGAGATCTTGACATGTCCTATTTCTTCTGGGATTATCTGACCCACTTTCTGATTTGCATACTTCCACTCCATTACTGAGGATAAACACCTCCATTAACAAACCCAACACACAAATGATATATTTTCCTCAATCATTTGTTTTTTTAATATTTATAGAGTAAAGGTATTTTAAAATATATTAGAAAATATTGTGCCTTTTTAAATATTTTTTATTTTTCAAATTAATCTAAAGATTATATGCAAAATTTTAAAAATTAATCCAAAGGTTATATGCAAAATTTTAAATTAATTCTTAGTTTATATGCAAAATTGGTTGAAATATTAACTAAACAATTTTTCTTCAAATTGAAGATACTTCGGCCAGTAAATCCTTTTTTATTGTCTCGACATTTCAACAAAAATCTTTTGTCCTCGTCAGGAGCAAACAGAAATTAGAAAATTTGGCAAGGCGTTAAAAATTATTCAAAGGCTGCAAGGGCGTTCTCACGCGATATTTCAAATTTTGTACAACATCTAAAGCACAAGTCAAAAAACAAATATTTAACTCACAAAGTATCTTTAATTTTAAGAACTATGAATGCCGGCCAGGCAGCCTTTATCTTTACGATAAACAATTTTTATTATAAAACGACATTTGAAAATTATCCCGCATGTGTTTCTTTTAAACGAAAATCTAAATTTAATTTAAGGAGAAATAACGATTATTTCTAACCTTAGGGATGAAGTATGAAAAGGATGAATTGTGAAGAGTAATGATAAACGGAAAAATAAAAGTGTCCAGGGATGGGAATCGAACCCACAGTGTTCCGCTTACCGGGCAGATGCCATGTCCACTAGGCTACTCTGGACATATTTTTCCGTTCGTAAATATTATATGAGGTAATTTATAATACAAAATGCGGCTAGAAGGCAAATATTTGTTAGCCTATGTATGTTTGTCTTTTTTTGATAAATGAATCATTAATTTTAGAAAAGTGAGAAATTGAGGTTCTTTCTGGTTTTTGGAGCTCGTTAACGTAGTATAAAAAGCGCCCCTCAACAATGTGGTCATTTGAAGTTTCTTGATAAATGATAGAAAATAATCAAGCCTATATACATAAATTTACACTTAAAACTGAATAAAAGGTTTTAAAAATTAAATAATAATATCAATACAGTACTGGCTCACAGTAGCTATTGATTCTCTATACTAAAAAAAACAAAACAAATACCCTCCCAAAATCTTATCCTACCACCTCAAAGTGGAGGGAGGGTGTAAACAGGTAGCACAGGACGTCGGGAGTTGAACTCCTGGTAGGGCCACCTTGTACCCGGCTAATGTAGGAAGGTATCAATTGTCTGTTCTCCATAGGAACGGCTCCATGTCAGGAGACCAAAAGAAGCGAAGTCACACTGAATGATACTTCCAGGTCTTCAGACCAACAGCACCCTCTTTCCGTCTCCATGATGTCAACATCTGTGGAATAAGCAACAACAAACAAATCGAAAATACATCGGGAGATAGGTTTCTTCATCAAATTTCATTAATATGTAAATTCTCTCTCTTCTTCTTCTTTTTTCTTATCTCCACTCAATCATATTAGGATATCAAGTTCTCACTTTGATGGTGACTGTTTGACAACCATCATGACAGGTTGAAGTAAAATGTGTCTGTCTTTGTCATTAAGACTGGGAGCACTACTCAGTAGCAGGCCGACTTAGCTCCAAAAGAAATGGCCGCCTCTGACATGAGGAACAGAGGCCATGTGAAGCCGCTCCTAATATGGAGTACAAACGCTGCTCATCCTGTATCCCTGGATTAGGAGCCCTTACAGCGTACTATCAGCCAGGCCAGCAGAGCCCAGGTTTTTTAGTAAGCTTGTTACTGCTCTCTCTCCTCCTTTTTCATCCGGGCTTGGAACCGGCAAAGGCGGAGTTAATCATACCAATCAGGCCTTAAACAGGAGTAACACATTAACTGAATAACTATTCATTTATGTCATATATTTATATACAAAAGTTACTTTCAAAAAGTAACGAACTTTTAAAAATATATAGTGTGAGGTTAAATCATTTTATTCCTCAGATATTTTCAAACTAAGACATTCCACTATCTACATATTTTTTTCCATCGAACAGAAAGATGTTTAAAATCAGTTTCATAGTCCATTGTCCTGGGTTTCATAGTCCATTGTCCTGGGTTTCATAGTCCATTGTCCTGGGTTTCATAGTCCATTGTCCAGGGTTTCATAGTCCATTGTCCTGGGTTTCATAGTCCATTGTCCTGGGTTTCATAGTCCATTGTCCTGGGTTTCATAATCCATTGTCCTGGGTTTCATAGTCCATTGTCCTGGGTGTCATAGTCCATTGTCCTGGGTTTC